TAACCTAAAAATGGGTTTTGCAAATTACTACCTGCAGTGCAACTAGGGATCCCCAAGCCAAATTGTTCCTCTGACAGGTGTCTCTGAGGCATAGCACCTTCCAGGGCTTCCCCTGGGGCAGCATACGTATGCACTATCTCTTACTCGGGGCTACGCCCAAAGGCACAATGTAGCCCTATGTAACATGGACTATTTAGTCTAACTTTTTTCCATTTTATTTTCTTTATTTTGGTGTATTATTTTGTTAACAAGCTGAGGATGCTCTGACAAGGGGATAATCAAAAGCAATAAAATGTAGTTCTTATGCTTTTCCTTTTGGAACTGTTCCTCTGCTTCCTAGAATTTTGCAAATGTGTCAGGTTAAAGGACTTGGGCAAAAATTATTGGCAGATGAATTTAAAATACAAAACAAAAATAAATTTTCTCTCTATTTACCAATCTCTGAAGGACATTTTAAATTTCCTCATTTAAATTCATATTCTGAGTCATTTGCATTGCATCACTCAGTTCCTGCTTAAGCTCTCTGAATTCAGATTTCTCATTTTTCTGCTATTTCTATAGTCCTCTGCTGACTAGAAGCTCTGCTAAATACTGTCTCTTCTTATAGCATTAACCAACAACAGTCCTCAGCCTAATGAAAGACTCAATATCAATAAAGAACATTAAGTATCAATAAAGTTTTTCTTTTACATTAATACTGAAGTTTTATGCTGTTATTGGACAGCTCTGAAGGCCTTGCTGGAATTTTGTGGACAGTAGGTACCTCAGCAGTCAAGAAGCAGTCTCTAGAAACGGCATCCTGAATGACAGCCAGGGCCATCCATGTAAATTGGATGATGACATCGTCTCATGCTAGGTGGAATACTATCACAGCACCCTGAACTATCCTACAGGTGCTGCTTGCCCAGAGCTGGATGATTTTGCAGCCACTGCAGTTTCAGATGAAGACACTTCTACTGATACACCAATGTTGGATGAAGTGAAACATGCCATTTGCAAACTGAAAAATGGTGTTCAGCCGATGCTGATAGCATCCTCCAAGAGCTGCTAAAATACACTTTTGATCCTCTAGCAGAAACACTCCAGGTCATCTTTTGCCTGTTGTGGAGAACTGGAACCTAGCCAACAGCCTGGAAGGATGGCATTGTGATCTCACTTTATAAGGGCTGACTAAATTGTTTCTGAAATTTCCCTGTTTGCTGCTCCTATTCACCTACATAGGAGTTTCCCTAGCAACTGATTTTTAAATTAAGCCTCACTGCTCACCTCCACCACCTCACTAACAGAAGGGATCACCCACTCTGAGACTTCAAACACTGGGACTGATCACAGACTCAACAGTCCCAACCACTCAGTCCTCACTGAGATACAAGCAGACTTGTCTCACCTGGCCTGGCCTACAAAACTGTCATGGAAAACAAACAACACACCACTCACAAAGTCCCTGCTGAGACACAGAGATTTAACTCAAAAGAGTTCATTGATTTTGAATCCCAATCTAAGTCATCTAATGACTGACTTTTCAGAAAAAAGAAGAACAGGAGGACTTGTGGCACCTTAGAGACTAACAAATTTATTAGAGCATAAGCTTTCGTGGACTATAGCCACAGACTAACACGGCTGCTCTCTGACTTTTCAGAGTGCTTAGCATTATATAGCATTTTACATGTTCAAAGTACAGCTCCCATTGACTGCAGATGTGAGAGGTCAGTAGTTCTGCAAATCAGATCCCACTATCTCAAGTCAGGAACCCAGAAAATGAGGAACAACTAGTGACTACTTGTGAAAATGTGGTTTAGGTGACTTGCCCAGGAACTCTGGAGCAGAGGGAGGATATAGGCCATTTCTCCAGAGCAGCATTTAACTGCCTTAACCACAAAACCATCTTTTCTCTTCCTTCAATCCCTGCCTCATTCACTACACACCTTCCAACTTCTGTAACAAGTGGAGATGGGGTCCTTCAGATGACAGCCTCTATCATAACTATAAAGGGAAGGGTAACAGCTCTCCTGTGTACAGTACTATAAAATTCCTCCTGGCCAGAGACTCCAAAATCCTTTTACCTGTAAAGGGTTAAGAAGCTCAGGTAACCTGGCTGACACCTGACCCAAAGGACCTATAAGGGGACAAGATACTTTCAAATCTTGGTGGGGGGAAGGCTTTTGTTTGTGCTCTTTGTTTTGGGGGTTGTTCGCTTTTGGGACTAAGAGGGACCAGAC